CCCACGCCCAGCTAATTTTTGATTTATTGTAGAGATGAGGTCTTGCCAAGTTGCCCAGGTGGGTCTTGAACCCACGGACTCAGGCAATCTGCTCACCTCAGCCTCCCAAAGACGCGGGATTACAGGCTGAGCCACTGAGCCCAGCTCACTGCTAATTTTATTTATTGATTTATCTTTTGAATTGGAGTCTCATTCAGTCACCCAGGCTGGAGGACAGTAGCACGCTCTTGGCCACCGCAGCCTTGACCTGCTGGGCTCAGGCGATCCTTCTGTCTCAGCCTTCCAAGTAGCTGGAACTACAGGCATGCGTCACCATGCCCAGCTAAGTTTTTTTTTTTTTTTTTTTTTTTAATTGTAGACATGAGGTCTCACCAAGTTGCCCAGGCTGGTCTTGAACCTGCAGGCTCAAGCAGTCCTCTTACCTCGGCCTCCCAAAGTGCTGGAATTATAGGCATGAGCCATGGTGCCCGGCCTCCACTGCTAATTTAAAAAATTTTTCATAGAGATAGGCTCTCACTATGTTATTCAGACTGGTCTTGAACTCTTTGCTTTAAGCAATCCTCCTGCTGTGGCTGGGATTACAGGCATGAGCTACATGCTAACCTATTTCTTACCTTGCCTGTTTTCTTTAGGATCCTTTTCTGAGTCCCTTGTTTCACTTGAGAATATTTTCTAATGCTTCTTATGGGTGTGTCTCCTCCTCTTTTAAATTATTTAGGAGCTTGCAAGTGTTTGAAGAAACAGGAATCTCTCATAGTGAATTTCTTCATCGTCAACATGCAGAGGAAGGTGGTGGTCCCCTTGGAGGTCCTCTGAGGTTCTCTAACCCTTGCATCCTCTGGCTTCATGCTGACCAGGCAGGTAAAAGCCCTTCGATGCCCTAGAGTCCATCCGAGAAAGAACTTAAGAGTAATAAGTAATTATATATAAAATATTTAAAACCATGGGTGACTCATAATAAGCACAAGTGTTAGATATTAATTTTATTATCATTATTTGTTGACTTAGGCTTCAGTGCCATTCTTCTGGGTATCTATCTGGAAAGGGAGGAAGGGTAACCTTGGCACTAGGATAAGATACCAGTGATAGGATAGGATGGCATAGGTGGAATGAGAAAGAGACCACCATCCAGAGACAGTCCAAAGGAGAAAGAGAAGGAAGGCTCCCGTGGAAGGAGGTCTGATTCCTGGGTTGGCTGAAGGCTGGATCACTGATTATTTTAGGAGCAGTAGGCCTGAGAAGTGGCTATGGTGATTAACTAGCTAGCCTGATGATGTTTTTGTTGCTAAAATATAATGCCCTGTGATAGTGGTAACCTGTTCATTCAGCAAACATTTAGTAAGCATTCAGTGAAGTGTTGAGTATTTTGCATAGTACTTGGGTTTTAGAGCACAGTCCCGGCTTTTAAGGAGCTCCCAGTCTAGTGGGGTAACAGACAGTAGATAGACACTACAGTGTGATAAATGCTGGGCTAGAGATATTTTCAGAGTGCTGTGGGGCCACAGAGAAGGGATGGTGAATATTCTCTGTGGGGAGTCAGGGACCAATTTGCAAAGGTAACATATGAATTAAGTCTGGAAAGAATAGATTGTTATGTGAACAGACAGTATATTGTAGCATTTAAAAGCACAGGTAAGCTGGGTGCGGTGACTCATACCTGTAATCCCAGCACTTTGGAAGGCAGAGATGAGAGGATTGCCTGAGTCCAGGAATTCGAGACCAGCCTGGGCAACATCTTGAGACCTCATTTGTACAATAGATTAAAAAAAATTAGGTGGGTGTGGTGGCACACTTACAGTTCCAGCTACTTGGAAGGCTGAAACAGAAAGATTGCCTGAGCCTAGCTGGTAGAGGCTGCAGTGGCTGTGAGCGTGCCACTGCACTCCAGCCTGGATGGCAGTGAGACTCCGACTCAAAAAACCAAGCAAACAAACAAAAAAAAAAAAAAACCACACTGGTTCTGGGGCATACTCTGATTTCAAATTCTTGCTTCATCATCTTCTAGTTTTGAGAGTTGTAAGATAGTTTACCTTTCTCTCTGTGTCCCAATTCTATAAAATAGAGATAATAATAGTACATATCTCATAGCTTCATTGAGGATTGGATGAATTAGTGCATACAAAGTGTTCAGAATGTGCCTGACACATGGAGGGGTCTCAGTAAATGCAAGGTTTTTAGGAAGATAATAAAAAAGTTTACTATTGTAGGCCAAGAAGTAGCAGTGGTAGAAATGTAGAAGAGTGTGCCGGGCTTGGTGGCTCAGCCTGTAATCCCACGCCTTTGGGAGGCTGAGGTGAGTGGATTGCCTGAGTCCGTGGGTTGGAGACCTGCCTGGGCAACTTGGCGAGACCTCATCTCTATAATAAATCAAAAATGAGCCGGGTGTGGTAGCGCACACCTGTAGTTCCAGCTACTTGGAAGGCTGAGGCAGAAGGATCGCTGGAGCCCAGCAGGTTGAGGCTGCGGTGGCCGGGAGTGGCCACTGCACTCCAGTCTGGGCGACAGAGTGAGACTCCAACTCAAAAAAATAAAAAAGAAATGTAAAAGTACAATTGAAATGGTGAAAATTTGTTCTTAAATTAATCTGCTTTAAAGTAAGAAAGATCATTTTTCAATAATGAGAATTTTTGTAAATAAAACCATGTATTACAATTTAGCATAAAGAAATGCTATCTGATTCATAATAAAGTTGTGTTTGGTTACTACTTCTGAACAATTAATGACCTCTCACTCTTTGCTCCTTTGCCTGGCTCAGTAATTTAGACTGTGTGTAGGATGACTTTGGATTAAATTTTCTTGTTCCTATCTAAGGTGTTATCTGGGGCTCTTAAATGTAAAGTAACACAATTTTAACAAATTAAATGACAAAAAAATTAACAAAGGTAAACTGGGGGTTCTCAGTCACCTCTAAAACACATTGGATATACATTCCATATAAGAATGAAATAATAACTGGGCTCGGTGGCTCAACCTGTAATCCCAGCGCTTTGGGAGGCTAAGGTGAGTGGATTGCCTGAGCTCGCGGGTTCGAGACCTGCCTGGGCAACTTGACAATAAATCTCTACAATAAATCAAAAATTAGCCGGGCGTAGTAGCGCACGCCTATAGTTCCAGCTACTTGGAAGGCTAAGGCGGAAAGATCGCCAGAGCCCAGCAGGTTGAGGCTGCAGTGGCCGGGAGCGACCACTGCACTCCAATCTGGGCAACAGAGTAAAAAAAAAAAGAAAAAAGAAATATTTATTTTTCATATTAGCTGCAATTATGTTTTCTTTTTATATAATGAGAAGACATGTGCTTTAGTGTGGCTCTTTTATTTGGAGCCACAGAGTCTTAGCTGTGAGTAAATATAATATGAATTATTATGTAAACTTTGGAATTTGAATCCTTTTCTCCATTTGGACAAATTCTCTTTTTTGTGGCAGCCAGGTAAGTGTATAGTAGGCACCTACAACATGCTTGTTGGTTGATGGGCTAATTTGATTCAAGTCCTAGATGAGCGCCTGGATAAGAGGGTGGATGACATGCTTGCTGCTGGGCTCCTGGAGGAACTAAGAGATTTTCATAGACGTTATAATCAGAAGAATGTTTCAGAAAATAGGTGAGGATTGGGCTGTGGCTCTGACCTACTCTCCATCTCTTGCCTATAGTTGAAAATCTGTAGACAATACTGGTTTTGGATCTACTTATTAGCCTTTATCCTTGGCATTGGCAAGGCTTGTTGGAAGGAGAATTGGTATACTTGATACAGTTGCAATTTTCTAATCTTTCAGACATTCCCAGGAGTTACTTTGCAAGGAAGTAACCTGGGAGCTGGTGAGTAGGGGAGGGAAGAATTTTAGAGTTAGTAACTGCTCAAAATCTCAATTTCCTCATCTATGAAATGAAATGGCTCAACTAGATCATCTCCAAGGCCCCTGGTAGCTTTCAGAAGCAATGGCTCATGTGCTTATGCTCTCCTGTTCCCAGCCAGGACTATCAACATGGTATCTTCCAGTCAATTGGCTTCAAGGAATTTCACGAGTACCTGATCACAGAGGGAAAATGCACACCAGAGACTAGTAACCAGCTTCTAAAGAAAGGTGTGAATTCCTTCATCTAACCTGGTCTTAGAAATTCTTGGGTGATAGAGTACACTGCTGGTATGGTCTGAGAAAGAGCTGAGTCTAGAAGTGTCCCACATGGCCTTCAGCTCAGAATTGAGATTTTTGTCCACCAAGTTTAACATTGTGTAACTGATTTTCTCTTCTGCTGGGCTGGGAGGGCCTGCCTTTCTGCAGGGTAACAAGTGCTCACCTAGAGGTTCTTATACCTACTGTATCTTTCAGGTGTTGAGGCTCTGAAACAAGTAACTAAGAGATATGCCAGGAAGCAAAACCGATGGGTTAAGAACCGTTTTTTAAGCAGTAAGTTTCATGTTTTTCCTTATCCTCTGGGTCTGTTTTTGATAGAATATAGGTGTTCTCAGCTCACCCGGAAAATGAACTTCAGTTTCTGGACCTGTTCTAAGATTTTGAACCTGACCTGGAGTAGGGTCTGTTGCCTAAGTGATTATCCAGGGGTATGTTCTTGTGATGTCTCATTAAAAAAATGGTTTCCATTGAGGAGTCTGCCTTCTGCCTTGAACAGATGGGCACTGTCTGCAAACAGCTAAGAACAAAACAGCAAAGTCTTAGCAGAATTGTTGTTCAGGGCTGATTTTTAGATTCAGTTTTGTACCTGAAGAGCAGTCAGATTTCTGTAAGGAAGACTTCCTTATTATAATAGTTTGGGGCCAGATGAGAAGTATAAAAAAGCAGAGCCTTCACCATTTCTCCCAGCATCTCCATCACGGTCACATACATGGTGTTTCAGGTTGCTTCAATGGAAACTTTAGCTGAACAGAACTTTTAAGGGAGAAGGAAGGAAATTCTCATCCATTTGATCCTGTATTGTGTCTTTGGCACTAAATTTGGTAATATACATATATTACTGGGTTTTCGAGGTCTTCGTTTAGTTTCGAGGTAGATATCTTTTTACAGATAAGAAAATGAAGACCTAGAGAAATTAAATAACTTGCCCCAAATCCCCCAGCTAGTATTGAATGCAGGCCAGACACCAGAATCCACACTTTTTGCCTTATACTACTCTTCTTATTTCCTTTAGCTATAATTTTTTTTTTTTGGAGATGAAGTCCTACTCTATCACGCAGACTAGAGTGCAGTGACATGCTCATGGCCACTGTAGCCTCAGACTGCTGGGCTCAGACAGTCCTTCTGCCTCAGTCTTCCAAGTAGCTGGAACTACAGATGTGCACTACCACGGTAGTCTGGCTAATTTTTTTTTTTTTTTTTTTTACTTTTTTTTTGAGTTGGAGTCTCACTCTGTCACCCAGACTGGAGTGCAATGGCCGCTCCTGGCCACCGCAGCCTCGACCTGCTGGGCTCCGGCGATCCTTCCACCTCAGCCTTCCAAGTAGCCCGAATTACAGGCATGTGCTACCACGCCCGGCTGATTTTTTTTTGATTTATTGTAGAGATGAGGTCTCGCTGCCCAGGCGGGTCTCGAACCCGCGGGCTCAGGCAATGCACTCACCTCAGCCTCCCAAAGACGCGGGATTACAGGCTGAGCCACCGAGCCCGGCTTAATTTTTTTGACTTATTATGGAGATGACATCTCACCATGTTGCCCAGGCTGGTCTCAGACTCATGGGCTCAGGCAATCCTCTCACCTCTACCTCCCAAAGTTTTGGGATTATAGGCATGAGCCACCATGTCTGGCTTAGCTATAACTCTAGACAGCATTAGTATTGGACCTTGGATAAGTAATTGTGTTGTTATGAGCTAAAAGGAGATTAAGCATAAGTGAAACTCCATTTTATCTTGTAGCCACTTTTTTTTTATTCGGAGTCTTACTCTGTTTCCTAGGCTGGAGTATAGTAGCACGCTCATGGCCACCGCAGCCTCAATCTGCTGGGCTCAGGTGATCCTTCCACCCCAGCCTTCCAAGTAGCTGTAACTATAAGCTTGCGCCACCATACCTGGCTAATTTTTTGATTTATTGTGGAGACGAGGTCTCACCATGTTGCTCAGGCTGGTCTTGAACCCCTGTGTTCAGGCAATCCTCTTACCTTCGCCTCCCAAAGTGCTGGGATTACAGGCATGAGCCACCGTGCTCGACTCTAGCCACTTTTAAAATATGCTTCTGAATCATCTCATGTTTACCTTTTGCTAGTAGACTTCTGCTCTCAGTTATAGAAAAGATTAGCTGCCGGGCTCGGTGGCTCAGCCTGTAATCCTGCACGTTGGGAGGCTGAGGTGAGTGGATTGCCTAAGCCCACGGGTTTGAGACCCGCCTGGGCAACTTGGTGAGACCTCATCTCTACAATAAATCAAAAATTAGCCTGGTGTGGTAGCGCACGCCTGTAATTCCAGCTACTTGGAAGGCTGAGGCGGAAAGATCGCCGGAGCCCCAGCAGGTCGAGGCTGCAGTGGCCGGGAGTAGCCACTGCACTCCAGTCTGGGCGACAGTGAGACTCCAACTCAAAAAAAAAAAAAAAAAAAAGAAAGAAAAGGTTAGCTGAATCCTCCCCCCTGCTCCTTGGTGCCTCTGATCATGTACCCCTTGATCTATACTGTTGACTACTAGGTTACTGACATGATCTCTCCCAGCTTCCACTCTCTGCCAGAACTCTCCAGTAGTGTTCTGGTGCCACAAGGCTATTTACACTTTCTTCTACTTATCCTGTTTTCTCTGCATGTCCTGTTAGATAGAAGTCCTGTGTCTGTTGAAGCTGAAACTCACTACTGTACTACAGACTTCTCATGCAGCTTCTCTTCTTCCCAAGTCTGACAATATATCTGTAACAAAAGACTTTTTTGTAGTAATTTGGAACTTCCTCCTGTGGTAAAGCCACAATAACTGTTCCATCTCTGAGGCAGGAGGAGTTGATGGCACAGTGTGTCGTATACCGTCACAGTCCTGGCGCTAGAGTGAAAAGCACAGCTGCCCTGAAAATCAGGAGTCATGTGTGATTGGCCAGGGCTGGTCTGCTGGGATATGGTTCTGGCAAGAAGCCAGAGGGACTTCCCCACCCCAGCTTGGCCTTGGACCCAAGCCAGAAATAGCAGCTGGGAGCCGAGAACTTGTTGAAAGGTGCTTAGACAGGGCACAGAAGCCCAACAAAGGGCTTAGAGGAGAAAGGAAAATGTAGAGTGGTCTGGAAACAGGTGCAGAGCTTAGCCAAGGCCAGGTGTGCTGTGGATGCTGCCTGCACCCTCCCAGTCTCACCTTTCGGTGTGGTGGCAGGTGCAGCCCAGTCCAGTTTATGAAGAATCTTATTTGTGGTTGGCCCAATGAAAAGGCCAGCACCTGCCAGCCGTTGGCATCCCAAGACCTTTGATGTTTTTGTCCAAAGGGCGATGCTCTTTGCCTTTACGCAACTGACTTAACCTAGCTGTGTGTTAGATAGAAGCTGTGTGTCTATAGGCTGAGGAAGCTACCAGCAGAAACTAAACTCTTCAACATGGTTGACTCAGATGGGTGAAATTCCTGTAGCTGTACTCTACTACCTCTAGCCTCATCTCTGTTTGGAAGAGTTTCTCAAGGGTTTTTCTCAAATACCCTCTAGATCTGGCTATTTAAAGGAGCTCAACCAGATCAATTTCAAGTTTTCTTTCTGGTACTCAGATTCAGTGGCTCATTGGTTGATATGATTTTTTTTCCCACCTCATGATTATCAGCATGCTATCAAAGAGTTTCATGAATGCCAGACTGCTGACAGGATGTATGCAAATCTGAGACTAGTGTCTGCTCCTAAAGAAAGCTGTGGACACTTTTGCCACAGATCACCATCACTATAACTTGATAAGGAACTTAGGAAGGTGTTTTCTTAAAGCTGCTAGTTTATTTCTCCCTATGATATGCTGTCCTTATGTTGTAGCCCACATAGTGGTCACTCTATTCTGTTTTCTTGACTGCTTTGGAAGATATCCTGCACCTTTGTCTCTAGCTTGTACAACTGGACTTATTGACTGTAGACCAGTCACACCTGTAGATCTTTCTTGGATCATGGTTCATGTTTCTGGTTAGAATGAATATCAGCATGGTCAGAGTATTTATTCCTTTGGCCCTCCATGTTTCCCTTGAGGACTTTCAAATCCTAGGAGCAGAACAGGTTGGGTGTTGGAGGCTGACCTCTCACACTTTTTTTTTGTTATTATTAGGACCTGGTCCCAGTGTCCCCCCCATATATGGCTTAGAAGTGTCTGATGTCTCAGAGTGGGAGGAATCCATTCTTGAACCTGCTCTTGAAATTGTGCAAAGTTTCATCCAGGTGATTATAATCATGATACAGTCTATTGTCTGATTCTCATAGCACTTTCCTTAGCTGGCACCTTTGTTGCTATATCATACATATCATGAAATCAAGCTTTTCTGAAGAATAAAGAAAGGCTAGCTGCTTTTAGAGGCTGTGTTTCTACTTTCACATTTAGAAAGATGGTTGCTAAAATCTATACACAGCTCACCTGCTCTCTGGTATTAGAAAAAGGAATCGTGGGAGAATCTCACTCCCCTTAATATCAGAGAATTGTATCCAAATTACTTTAATTGAATTCCCCACTCCTACATCCCACTCCTACATCCCTATGTTTTTTTAGGGCCACAAGCCTGCAGCCACTCCAATAAAGATGCCATACAATAAAACTGAGAACAAGAGAAGTTATCACATGTGTGACCTCTGTGATCGAATCATCATTGGGGACCGAGAATGGGCAGGTAAAATATGGAGAAAAGCATGGAAAATTCTGTATGGGTCACGATGATTTCATCAAATTTTATGTCTTTGGTAGTTGGAGTGCTGGAATGTTTGATTTTTTAAAAGAATTATCTTAAGTTTTAGAGACAGAGCCTTATTCTGTCACCTAGGCTGAAGTACAGTGGTGTAATCATAGCTCACTGCAGCCTCAAACTCCTGGACTCAAGCAGTCCTCCTGCCTCAGCCTTTCAAGTAGCTAGGACTACAATGCGTGTGCCACCATGCCTGACTATTTAAAATATATATATATATATATTTTTTAATATATATATATATTTTGTAGAAACGTCTCCAGGGCCAGGTGTGGTGCTCACTTCTGTAATCCCAGAACTTTGGGAGGTGGAGGCGAGGGGATTGTCTGAGCCCAGGGGTTCAAGACCAGCCTGGGCAACTTGGCGAGACCCCATTTCTACAATAAATAAAAAGAATTTAGCCAGGTGTGGTGGTACACACCTGTGGTTCCAGCTACTTGGAAGGCTGAGGCAGAAGGATCACCTGAGCCCAGCAGGTTGAGGCTATGGTGTCCGTGAGCATGCCACTGCACTCCAGCCTGGGCATCAGAGTGAGACTCTCTGACTCAAAAAAGAAGGGGAAAAAAAGAACTAACCAGGTGTGGTGGGGTGCAACTATAGTTCCAGCTACTTGGAAGGCCGAGGCACATGGATCTCCTAAGCCCAACAGGTCAAGGATGCAGTGGCCTTGAGCGTGCCACTGCACTCCAGCCTGGGCGACAGAGTGAGACTCCGACTTAAAAAAAAGAAAAGAAAAGAAAAGAAGCAAACAAAGAAAGTATCCCTGTGTTGCTCAGGCAGATCTTGAATCCTGGCCTCAAGGGATCCTTCTGTCTCAGCCTCCCAAAGCGCTGGGATTACAGGCTAAGCCACTGTGCCTGGCTTGGAATTTGTTTATTTGTAAAGGGACAGCCAGATTCTTCTAAATCCTATGCTCAAATTCCTTGGAGACTTTCCCCCAATTGGGGAGTTGTCTCTGCATTCTGAAATTCAAAGGACAATCATATGCCCTCTAGCTTCAGTTGGAATAGATGTTGGTTAACTTGTGAGGTCTGCAGTTAACTTTCTAGAACTCTTTTGACTTCATGATTCTGCCTTAGAGGAGTTTTTTGGCCTTTCATGTTTAGAACTCAGTGGGGGTGAGATAGGATTGTAAGGGAAACCAGGCAGCTCATCCTAGAGACTCAAAGAATCAGAAACATAGATGGGGGTGGAGGACATGGGCTTGGAGGGTGAGTGGAGGGGCGAGAAGTGCAGCAGTTACTCCTCCTGAGAGTACATTCTTCAAAAGTGATGTCTCTTCAGTATTCTGAGGTAGTATGTTGAAATGGTGGTAGTTAAAACCATGCTGAAAAAATGTTCAGGGAAGCTGTGTGAAAGCAAGCCACTCACTCACACATGTATAAAGATCAGAGACAGCTCCGCCCTAAGACTGTGTATCCCTGCTTTAGTGCCTGGACCTGTCTCTGCCACAGAGTCGAATTGCACTAGCATTGTTGGGGTGTCTGATTTCTGTAGTCACCCAGTCCAAGCTTTACCCCCAAGCCTTGAATTTACATGGTATTTAGAAACAGGTATAAGGCGCACTCCTTTTAGGCACACTGGGGCAGGCTTACAGTTTACCCAGCGACTGGGACCCTTCTGTTCTGAGTACTGTTTTCCATGGACTTGTCAGAGAAGTAGATTTTTCTCCCCATACCAGCCAATAGAATGATTAGGTCTATTAACTGTTAACTCTGGCAAAATGAACTCCATTGTCAGAGACTGGGGATGACTGTGATTGCCTAGCCAGCAGAAGAAGCCTCAATTGTCATTGGCTTATAATGATGAAAGGGGAAGAGAGAGTGTCTGATTGTTTTTTCTAAAGGAAACTTAGTGGTTCGATTAGTCGAATGTCCTTCAGGGATAGCCTTAGAGAAGCAACATGTGTGAGCCTTTGTGAGCTTAGCTTGTGTAAGCCCTTCTGTTGTGCCATCTGTCAAGTCCTTGCTCCCATCTCCTGCTGCCATGGAGAGCCAGCCCAAAAGCTCATTTTTTTTTTTTTTTTGCCTTAGGTTCTAACTGGAGAACAAAGCTGACTTTTTTCCCCAAGTAAACTTCTCTTTGACTTCTAACCTCATCCTCACTTATTCTTGCTTCTAAACACTTAAAAATGATGCTATTAATATATATAAAAGAAAATGTAATCTAGTCATCTATCTCTTTAGGTGTTCCCAGATGAAATTTCCTTGAAAAAGAATAGAGTAGTAAAAATAATCTTGCATGAGTTAGTCAGAAGGTAGTGACTGTTAGGGACGACAGGTCAGCAATTGTAGCAGGCCTTTCAGCTTTCTTGCTTCTGTGGCCCCTCAGAAGAAATTGGCAGGGACAAATGCTCCTTTCTGTCTCCCTGGGGCAGTGTGTGCAGTGTGTGCTTGGGGAACAGGAGCCTTATGGGGTAGTCATTCAAATGGCCTGTCTGACCTAGGCATGGGGATAAATACATCTGCAATAGGAAACCCCATGCCACAGAGAACTGATTCTGTAAATTAGGGTCTCTTTTTGGAGCTATAGGTCTAAGCAGATGAGTTTACCCACTGTGTGACCTTAGACAAAATGTGAAAACTCTCTGAACTTCAGTTTTCACCTGTATGAAACGAGCAGAATAATACTGTCTTATAAGACTGTTGTGAGGGTGAGTGATGTAAAAGTACCTTAGCAGGGAGCACTTGACATGTGGTAGGTCACTCTATTTTGCTAGCTAGCTGGCTGTGTAATTTATTCTTCCTTAAAAATGCTAAGCAGCTATACCAATACATGTGTCAATCCTGTTATTTATTGTTAAAGAAAAGGACTGTATAGTTAGTTGTATTTGCCTCAAGAATTAATTCTAGAAAATCCTAATAAGTTTTTGTTTGTTTGGTTTGGTTTTGTCTTACTAGCGCATATAAAATCCAAATCCCACTTGCACCAAGTGAAGAAAAGAAGATTGGACTCAGATGCCATCAACACCGTAGAAAGTCAAAGTGTTTCTCCAGACTGTGACAAAGAATTTAAAGAGAAGAGATCTCCAGGCCAGAATGACCAAGAGCTGAAATCCAGCATTTAAGAGACATGTCCAATGGACTTTGCAAAAGTGGTGGGCTGCAGTTCAGAGGAAGGGATGTGTCTGTCTCCCAGTCTGGGCTAAGGAGTGCTGTGCAGAAAACTCACACCATTTTCTTCCAATCAGTGATGTGGTTTTAAAATCTTGTGTTCTCTGTAATGGAAACAGCAGATCTTGTCAGTTCCCTGTGTGGCTAATGTGTCTGGTAATGATGTAGTTCAGAAAGAGTTTTTTTTTCTTTGAACCTTAAAGTTTCTATTTTTAAAAGAGGCACAGATTGTACATTTCTGAACTTGAGGATCTTTTTAGTGGTGAATACCAGGATTCACTACAACCTTTGAAGAAGTTTTATGTCTCCAATTCTGGCTAAAAATATCTCAGATGATTTTGTAGATGACTGAAGTATTGTGAACCACAAATCAGGAGTTCTGGATTCGAATGAATGGCAGGAAAGGATCAGCTCCATTGAGATGATTAAGTGAACCACACTAGTTCTTAGAATTCAACAGAGAAAGAGGGAATTGAACTGAGGTAGCTGTGACATAGGACTTGAAGACTAAAGGCTTTGAAATGTGTGGGTTGCTCCTGTGTGATAATTCCTATCTCTGGTATCTTTCTATTGAGTTAGGAATGTGTGTGTGTGTGTGTATGTGGTTTTTTTTTTTTGAGTTGGAGTCTCACTCTGTCGCCCAGACTGGAGTGCAGTGGCCACTCCCGGCCACCGCAGCCTCGCCTGCTGGGCTCCAGCGATCCTTCCGCCTCAGCCTTCTGAGTAGCCGGAATTACAGGCATGCGCTACCACGCCCAGCTGAATTATTATTTATTTATTTTTTTTAGTAGGAGTCTCACTGTGTCACCCAGGCTGGAGTACAGTGACATGCTCACAGCCACTGCAGCCTCAACCTGCTGGGCTCAGGTGATCCTCCCACCTCATCTTTCCAAGTAGCTGGAACTACAGGTGCGTGCCACCATGTCCAGCTAATTTTTTTATTTATTGTAGTGATGAGATCTCACCATGTTGCCCAAGCTGGTCTTGAACCCGTGGGCTCAGGCAATCCTCTTGCCTCCACCTACCAAAGTGTTGGGATTGCAGGCGTGAACCTGGCTAGGAATCTATGTTTTTATTGAAAGTTAAATAAAGAAAAATCCTAAAAGAAGCTCTTTAATCCTTTTTTTAAAAATTCTCTTTATAATTTTAAATTTTAGAATTTTTATATAAATAGAGACAGGGTCTTGCTATGTTGCCTAGGCTGTGAACTCCTGGACTCAAGCAACCCTCCCGCCTCAGCCTCCCAAAGTGCTGGTATTTACAGGCATGAGCCATTGGGCTTGGCCTTCTGATCCTTAAAAAGATAAATGTCCATGTCTAGTTTATATATAATATGCTCTATCATCAACATGATAGCTTTTCCTCAAATTTGGCATTCCTCATAGATCATGCTGTTCATTTATGTAACAAATGTTTGTCAAACACTTAAATTTCTTGAAGACATGTAGGGAGAGTCTTTTATTGGAGATTTTTTATCATTATTATTATTATTATTTTCGAGTTGGAGTCTCATTCTGTCACCCAGGCTGAAGGGCAGTGGCACGCTTCCAGCTGTGGCAGCCTCGACCTACTGGTCTCAGGCGATCCTTTCCCCCCAGCCTTTCAAGTAGCTGGAACTACAGGCACACACCACCATGCCCGGCTTATTTTTTTTTTTTATTGTAGAGATGAGGTCTTGCCAAGTTGCCCAGGCTGGCCTCGAACCCGCGGGCTCAGGCAGTCCTCTCACCTTGGCCCCACAAAGTGCTGGAATTATAGGCGTGAGCCCCCGCACCCAGCCTGAAATTTATTGTTTCTAATTGAAGCCCTCTTATTGGAGTGACATGAGCTACCAGCGTGTTAAATGTTTATGTATATATAACATAAAGCATTTTTAACTGTGCGATTCATTGGTATTGATTACATTCACAGTGTTGTGTACTCATCATCACTATCTATTTCCAAAATGTTTTTGTCACTCCAAACAAAATCTCTGTACCCTGTAAGCAGTAACTCTCCACTCAAATATATTTTATTTGTTCAGAATCCACTATATAAGAGGTCCTGAACTAGGCTAGAGGGAATACAGATGAGATATGGTTCTTGCTTTGTAAATAATCATATGTGCACAAACAACCAGTCTAGGTGAGAGAATATCAAAGACCATAAAAGCTGTGTAGAGGGAAGGGGAAGGGCTCATAGAAGAAGGAGCATTTCTGCAAGACCTTAAAAAGCAGTTCTTGGGACTCTGTATTACCTGTGCATACAGGACTACACAGAGGGGATGGTAGAGTTTAAAATCTGCCTGACTTACTGATCTTTTTAAATAGTGCTGAATTTTAGAGCCTCACCCACCTTTAACTTAATTGAAACTCAAGAATAAATTTATTCTGATCAAATAGGAAATGATGCTTGTGTCCATAAGCCCATCTTGTTTTTTACATGGATAATTCTCCCAATCTGTTTATTAACTAATTCAGATTCGAATGGAGTAGGAAGCCCCATCTTCCCACTGGGAGTGGAGGTAAGTATACTGTGAGCCAAGCAGTGCCAAACACTTTATATGCATTGTTTCTCACACAGCCCTGGGAGGGAGATGCTGTTTCCATTATTGCCTACCAGTGGGGAAACTGAGGAACAGCAAAGGAGTACAGCCAACAAGTGGCATTGCTAGAATTGAAGGGAGATGGGTAGACTTGGGCTGTTGAGCTTTGTGTTAAGCTGGCTGTTTTTAGGGGAGGAACCTTAGTCTCTCTGATATGTTCTTCACTCAAGTTGCTAAATATGTTTTAAAGCTTAAACAACCTTCGATTGACAAGCCGGAAAAACTAGATTTAATAATCCTACCTCAGCCAGGCATGGTGGCTCATGCCTATAATCCCAGCAATTTGGGAGGCGGAGGTGAGAGGACTGCCTGAGTCCACGGGTTCGAAACCAACCTGGTCAACTTGGCGGGACCTCATCTCTACAATAAATTTAAAAAACTAGCCAGGCATGATGGCGTATGCCTGTGGTTCCAGCTACTTGGAAGACTGAGGCAGAAGGATCACCTGAGCTCAGCAGGTCAAGACTGCAAAGACCGGCTGCGGGACACTGCCCTCCAGCCTGGGCTACAGAGTAAGACCCTGACTCAAAAAATAAAAATAAAAATTCTACATCAAAAAGCCTTTAATTCTTCCATTTGAAATACCTGGAGCAGTAACTTTTCATTGAACTCATTGCTACCTCTATGACAATTGGGAATAAGGAATTTTTTACAATAAAATAAAAATGCCTAATATTTATGAAGTAGTTAAGTTCATGGTACTGTGGTTGAGCCCACTGCCCCTATTCTTAGAAACTGTAGTTCAGCAAGATTCCTTCACCAGCAGCAAAGAACCTGGCAAAGGCAGAACACTCACTAGAAATCTACTTGGTGTTCTGACCTGAGGCATTGTCCTGAGTACATTTCCCCTTTTCTGTCTGCTGCCCTCCAGATGACTTTGCTGTTGAATGTAGGGAGGGAAAGTAGTTCTGCCTTGTGATTGTCATAAATGTGGAGATGAAAGAATCCTTACTTAGCCCCTTCTTGTACAGATGGGAAAACTGAAGCCTAAAACATGGATGTTCCACAGTCACCGAGCAAGCTGTGGTAAAGCCAGGACAAACCTCAGATCACCTCTCTTACTCAGCTACTAAATTTCATACCAACTTTTATTTGAGAGCTGAGAAGTGCTATAGAGACCAGCTTTGGGCTATTTGCTCAGCTTTGAGGGAGGATGAGGAATGTCATTTTGTACCATCTGGCCGCAGCTGATCCCTAGCTGAGCGTAGCCCTCCAGTCCAGGTACCCAGAGTCTCCAGTCTGAAACACCAGCAGTGCTATCTAAATGGCTTTGGTAAATAATTTCAACGCTCAGGTCCACCTACTTCTGTCAGTAAAAATATTTTAGACTTTAGATACTTCTTGTAGTTCAGACAATGTTGGCGTTAGTTGGGTAAGAAGTACTTTGACTCAGAAGAGAGAACTGAGCCGGGCTCAGTGGCTCAGCCTGTAATCCCGCGCCTTTGGGAGGCTGAGGTGAGTGGGTTGCCTGAGCCCGCGGGTTCAAGACCTGCCTGGGCAGCGAGACCTCATCTCTACAATAAATCAAAAAATCAGCCGGGCGTGGTAGCGCATGCCTGTAATTTCGGCTACTTGGAAGGCTGAGGCGGAAGGATCACTGGAGCCCAGCAGGTCGAGGTTGCGGTGGCCGGGAGCAGCCACCACACTTCAGTCTGGGCGACAGAGTGAGACTCCAACTCAAAAAAAAAAAAGAAAAAGAGAGAACTGGATTCTTAATCTTTAAAATTTGTTGCTTGACCGGACTCGGTGACTCAGCCTGTAATCCCGCGCTTTGGGAGGCCAAGTTGAGTGAATTGCCTGAGCCCACGGGTTCGAGACGGCCTGGGCAACTTGGCAAGACCTCATCTCTACAATAAGTCAAAAAATTAACCGGGTGTGGTAGCGCGCGCCTGTAGTTCCAGCTACCTGGAAGGCTGAGGCAGAAGGATCGCCGGAGCCCAGCAGATCGAGGCTTCGGTGACCAGGAGCGTGCCACTGCACTCCAGTCTGGGCAACAGAGTAAGACTCCAACTCAAAATTAAGTAAAATATGTTGCTTGATTTTTAGGACTAAGCGAGAGTCATCTGTAGTCCAGGCACAAGGTTTGATTTTTTGTAATTCTTAGTATTTATTTGTACTCTTAGCCTCAGTTTCACATTCTACAAAGAGGATTTTTCTGCTTAAAACACACAGACTGGGCATGGTGACTCACGCCCATAATCCCAGCACTTTGGGAGGCCTAGGTGAGAGGATTGCCTGAGCCCACAGGTTCAATACCAGCCTAGGCAACTTGGCAAGACCTCATCTCTCCAATAAATCAAAAAAATTAGCTGGGCATAGTGGCACGTCCTTGTAGTTCTAGCTCCTTGGAAGGCTGAGGTGGAAGGATCAACTGAGCCCAGCAGATTGAGGCTGCGGTGAAAACAAAAACACGCAATATAGCAAGTATAACATTAAAAACAACACCCCCCCACATGCTTGTAAACAAACTTTTATGAATGCAGCGACCTGTTTATATTCTTGGCATGTGGAAATAGTCGATTATTTGCTGAATTAATTACATGAAAG